TTATAGAAGAAACAACTAACCGATTATTTGAAACACTCCATCGAAAGATTATTGAAATAGAAAAATCTCTTGCACCAGGAGAAAATGTTATTGAAGAACAAAATAATTGAATCAGAATCCGAAAATGATAAAGTTATACAAGATTTATCCAACAAAAATAAAACACCACAACAAGTTGCAGATACTGAAACACCCAAGAAACAACACAGTGATGCAACGGCTTCACCAAATGAAACATCAACAAAACCACCAAAATCAACGAATGATATATCAACGAAACTTCAATCTAAAACAAATACAACATCAGCAAAACCGTCGCATAAACCAAAAGCAATAACAAAAACAATCATGAGAAATCGTTCCCCAAACTACTCAATAGATCCAAATCTATATTCTATAACCTATGATGATTAATGTATGTCATATCAATATTACTTCTATTAAAAAACACAAAGATAAACTCCTCGCAAGATATTCTCACTATGATATTATTTGTATAAATGAATCCAATCTTGAAATTGATCGACCGTTCTCCCTCAAAGGTTATAACATTTATCGAAATGATCGAATAGATAAATCTGGTGGTGGTGGTGGTGGTGGTGTATTACTTGCAATGAAAGAACATATAAAATGTTATGAAATCTTTAACAAAATGATTGAAAAAAATGAAATATTAGCAGTCCAAATAGAAGCTAAAACAATCAAATTAATCTTAATTGCTTCCATCTATGTTCCACCAACAGCGAAGATCAATCGTAATGTCTTCCATGAATTATACTCAATAAACAGTAATTGTCTTATTGTTGACGATCTTAATGCAGCATTATTTCAGATGGGATCAAAGAAAACAAATGCAAAAGGGAGGCAATTACAAGAATTTTTAAATGAAGGTTTCTTAAATTGTATAGAAGATGATAGTCCAACTTATGAAAGAAATAATTATGAAGAAAAAATAGATTGGATACTAGTCAGTCAAACGTTGAAACTCATCCACCATTTGGTTCATTAAGTGGACATAAGCCGTTAACTTTTGAAATCCCATTAGGGGCTGAACCAAAACCAACTTCACCTAGAATATCTTATAATTTTCAAGAAGTGAAGTGGGCAAAGTTTATACAGCTATGTAACGAAAATGGTGATGCAGCTCTACCACTGGTTGGGCATTGATGTTAATGAGCTACTAGTGCATTCCACTATCGTTATGATGACAAATGGAGAGGCACATTAAATGTCTTTGATCCCATTGTGGGCATGATGTTTATTCGACTGTGCACTACATCCAAATGTAACACTCTCATACACAACATGAGCTTATATAAGAGAGAGCTGGGAGAGAAGAGAGAGAATAGATAATACAATATAAGGGAAGGAAAGGAAATAAGAAAGATATAACAGAAGATTACGCAATGTAAGAATGAACAAGTGATGAGGCCAAGGAGAGAACAATGTAAGAATGAACAAGTGGTGAAGCCAAGGAGAGAACAGATATAGAAGAACAATCGAGTAAGAACACAGATGAGAGCAATACATATAATATACGAGTGAATGGAGAATGAGAAGCGCGTTACGACAGCAAGAGAATAAGGTTCAATCAAGCATACATAAACGTAAGAGTAATGCGATTATGAACACACGTAACATTGATTGTACAAGAACACACTGAGAAAGTAAAGATATCATATAAGATGATATGCCCATTGGCACAAGCTACTAGATGAACATCTTGTGCTATGGGACAACACTCGTCTACTTAATACAACAACAGATATAGAAGAATACACGTCGTTCATCACCGATAGTATTACTTCGGCAATACAACAGACTATTCCAACATCTAAACAAATTAATTCAAGATATGTACCAAGTGAAGCAACAAAATGTTTAATCAAATCCAAACATCAAGCTTATTGCAGATGAAAAAAGAATGGAGATGATTATGAAAAGAAACAATATTATATCTTCAAGGTGCTTTTATCAAATTCACTTAGAAATGATAGAAAAAATAATTTAAACAAGTTAATGTCGTCATTATGTCAAAAGAAAATGTATTCAGCATCAGTTTGGTTTACGGTTCGTAAATTCTACAATAAAAGAATCAAACAAACATATCCGAAAATCATGAATTATAAAAACACTACAGCAACAACAGATGACGGAAAAGCAAACCTATTTGCTGATTATTTTCAAAATGAAGTATACTTCAAATCACCCGACACATTACCTTTCCATGAACAAGTAACAAGACAAACATACAATATCAAAGAAAAAATTAAAAATACATCTGTTACAAATAACTGGGAAGAAACCACAATCAATGAAATAAAGTGGAACATTAAACAACTTAAAAATAGCTCTACCAGTCCTGATAATATACACAATAGGTGCTTAAAAAATCACACTAAATTACTTGTTCAACATATAACAAATCTTTTTAATTCTATTATCAAATTGGGCTATATTCCGAATATATGGAAAAAAGCGCATATAATTCTTTTATTAAAACCAAAGAAGGACAAGCACCACCCAGCCAGTTATAGACCTATCAGTCTTCGAAGCTGCATGGGAAAATTACTTGAAAAGATAATCAAACAAAGATTACTGGCAGAACTTGAGCAAAGAAAAATTTTACCAGAACATCAAGCCGGTTTACGTTCCAAAAGAAGTACGTCATACAACATCATCCGATTAGAAATATATGCTCGGGATCAACTTAGAACAAGGCGACATGCTGCATTCGATTCGGTCTGACATGATGACCTGATTTACAAGTTAAATGATCTTCATCTTCCACAGTATTTAATTCATTATCTTATCTGATTTCTGATTTCTGAATAATAGAACTGCTCTTATCGAACTCGAAAATGTCCTGTCTCTTTCTTGTAACTTAAACAGTGGTACACCACAAGGATCTCCTCTCTCACCACTTTTATGGTGACCGAACAATTCGTTGCAATGATAGAATTCAATTATAACTTATTATTATTTTTTTCATAAATGAATTGATCTATTAAGATAAGTAAGAAACACATAATTCAATGAATATGAAAATTGTAGAGACTGTTTTTAATGACTAAACTTTGATTTTTAATCCCAAACAATACCACAATCGTCTTGCACACATAAAAAGTTATTTTAATTATGTCAGCAGTAAGTCTTCTTATAGACGCAAAAGTGGTGTCTCATCTTTCTTTCAGTCCCTGCCGTAGCTTACGATTTACGACTCATGGGGCAATACGTTGAGAAAACAAGTGAAACCTAGTGTTCACCAACAAAGATTGACTTTAACATAAACAAAAGAAACTTTCGATCAAATCGTTTTATTAAATATATTTATTTAACGTACAAATTGTGTTAGTCCAAAGACTATCAGCTCTTATTTTAAATGTTTAAAATTAAACTAGTTTGAATCAATCAATGGTTTGTGCAGTTCTAACACTAGTTTTAATGATTTCTCATGTTTGAGGTTGTGTTCATCTTATCAGTGTTAATTGTGAAGCAGAAAATAGATCTGATTTTTTCATCAAGCAAGAATTTCTTATGACGATACAAACCGAATTAAAAATTCGAAGTAATCAATAAAAATAGTCTCTACAATTTTCATATTCATTGAATTATGTGTTTCTTACTTATCTTAATAGATCAATTCATTTATGAAAAAAATAATAATAAGTTATAATTGGATTATATCATTGCAACGAATTGTCTTAGCACCCATTTTTATATATTATCTACAGATCTGATTCAATGAATGTAATACCAAACTACACAGAACATGGGTTATTTGCAGACGACACAGCTTTATGGACATCTTCTAATACAACATCGAATCGTAGAACCAGATTACAGCAATCCACAGATGAATTTCAAAGGTGGTGTGCAGCTTGGAAACTGGAATTACAACCAATAAAAACAAAATTAATTCACTTTAGTTCTCACCCAAAAAAGAGATACAAGAATCCAGTTTCAGTCAAAGTAGAAGATACGACTTTAAAACCACTTGACTCAACAAGATATTTGGGTGTAATCATCGACAAAAAGTTAAATTGGAGATGTCATCTCAATCATATTGAATCAAGGATTTCTGATCGAATTAGTCTACTACGATTTCTTTCAAGATCAACATCTGAACCAAATGACAAAATCATGTTAAACATATACAGGTCAATCGCAAGAACCATTATCACATATGGATTCCCGGTTCTGCTCACTGCAAGCGAAAAGACCTGAGAACGACTACAGATTATTCAGAACAAGGCTATACGAGCAGCACTAGGATTGCCATCATATACGTCTGTAGAGTATATTCACAAAATTAGCAATATTCCCAAGATGAAACAATATACATTGAAATTATTAGATTAAGCTATTGCCAAAGCCCATTCAAACAACGATAAAACATTGGAAACTCGTCTTAAAGATATACTACATGAATTATAATACCAACTAATTAACCACTTAATCTCCACCAGTATTTCTTACATTTCTATTTCGGGACAAAAGACATATGTCAAGAGTCTCTCCGTATTCTCAGCCTTTTTCTTTTGTTGTAAAATCTACATAATCTAAATAAATAAAGGCTTTGAAATCCAAAAAAAAATTCATGAATGGTAATACTGAGGTTTGAATGCAGTACGTTGTGGATACGTGTCCAACAACGTAACCACTCAACCATGACAGCTGTCATTTGTGCAAGTGACTATGAAAATAATGATAGTTATTACAATCCGGAGAGATGCGCTCCAACAATATTAAAAAAATGAATCTGAGTTAATGCCAGTTTTCCAAGTTAGTTTAAGCTTAGTTAGTCATGTAAGAGGATAGAGAAAGCAGATACCGTTCAATGTATTGGTTCCAATACCATTTGGTGTTGGTTTAGTAACCGTATCTATATCATTGTAATCTAAAAACTTATAGGATAGTAAGAAAGACTTGTAAATACAATTATGAACCTTTCAAAGGTAGTGATGTATCATTGGTAATAATATTGAGATGGGAAGTAATATATCTTTGTATAAGCTCATGTCTAAATAAGGTAGTGTCCATTGTTTCTGGTAAAGAGTCTTGAGAAATATTGCACTGACACGGTGGAACAGAAACATTTGCATGACCTTCTTCAATCCAACTAGGTAGAGCAAAAGCGATTGACTCACTCCAGCTAGCATCTTCTGTGAAACTTTGTGCAAGAGTCCCAGCAGATAAAACTATAAACTCGTTTGGATGTTGAATGATTCGATGATAACGGATATGATTTTTGTCTAGTACGGAAGGATCGATGAGTAATTGTCCATGGTCCAAACAAATAGAAGAATTTTGGTAATCAATTGTTCTTTGTAAAATTTCTCGCTCATAAGTTGGAATAATGTACCAATGATGAGCACCACCATCGTGATGGTAGTCAACTGAGAAGAGACGCC